GCAGGAATCGATTGGTACATGTTTCAAGTCGCTAAGTGGTGTCGTTGCCGAGATATGGGCAAAAAACTGCATTTTTTCGAGGTTTTTTGGCTTTTCCTGGAAATCCATGAAAGAAACCCGGAATTTTTATGGCCTATGTTCATTCTCGTAACTTGCTTAACATAATTGCTTTGGAACTAGTCATCGATATTGCTTCGTTGAGGAGGAGATACGACTTAATGCCCGGACACACATTCATACATCCATACATTCATTCATTCATCCATCCATTCCCAGAAATGACGAGTTAATAAACGCAATTCTCCAGAATGGAAATTGCGCTAAAAAGTAAACAAGTAAATATGTGGAGCCTATGTCTGTCGCTTACAATTAAGGTCAACTTTGTTTAACGTATTTCTTAAGAACTCATTGTACACTATACCATTTAGGCCAAAGAATTAACTCAATCAATCGAACCATGACGAATATTCGCTACACGGGGGTGGGGAATGGTGAGAAAGTAAGAGAAATGGGGGCGAGTCGAATTTTTTAACGATCTTGGCTAAAGCGGTTAAATATTTAGACAGCGTAGCTATTTTTAAGAAAACATCTAAAATAATGAAAATTTTTAAATCGAATTAAGGTGTAAACGTACTTGTAGATTTAGGTGTAAGCGTTGGTGTAGATACAGGTGAGGTTGTAAATGTGGGAAATAGTGAAAACAAAGATGTAATTGATGTTGTTTTGGTTGCTGTAAAGTTGTGAGTGTAAGTGTAGGGGTCGATGTATGGGTATTACGTAATGCGATAAGTATGCGTGTGGGTGCGGGTGCGGGAAAGTCGCGGAATTGTGTGCATTTTTATGTACTTAACTGTATTAAATTTCCGTATGTCTATTACATAAAGTAAAAAACGAATTGTAAAAAAGTTGTAAACATTGCATTCAGAGTTCACGAAAGAATGTTTGTACTTAAAATGTAGGTGATGGAGTGGGTAGGGGTGAGTTGTGCACATCATGCTATAAGTATGCGGAGGGGGGGTGAGGTAAAATTTACGTAGTTGTGTGTATTTATTATAAACTTTACTGTATTAAATTATTTCCATATGTCTATTACATGAAGGTTAGATAAATGCAATAAGTAAGCGTGGAGGTGTGGAAAAGTCTCGAAGTCGTGCGTATTTAATTGTATTAAATTATTTCCGTATATATAAAACATCAAAGTTTTTAAAAATATATTAATGAATTTAAAGAACCCACATAAATTGAAGTTTCACGCTTAAAATATAGATCGATATTGTAGTATCTAAAAGAGAATGTTTGATAATATAAGTGCCAATGATACTTGTTTCCATACAATTTGTTTGTTTTACATAAGGGTAAAAATTTATGTCATATTCATGCATGGTTCCTTCCTTCCTTATACGGAGACCGGCTCAGAAGGTTCACTTCCATTAGCCAGGCATGCCTCAGTGTGACAAACCCCGATCACCAGGGTTTCCCACACATCGGTCGCTACTTCCGTCGGTTCTCACCGGGATTTCCTTTCCCACCCACCAGACGCGGGACGTCGTCCTACCGCCTGGTACCCAGCTTGATCGTGGGGGGCATCCCGTCATGCATGGTTAAAGGGGGTGAGATGAAGAGCGATGATAGTTTGGACGTTTATCGCAATATATGCAACATTTAGGTGGGGTGACTTTGAAAGGTTAACATCATAGGGTGATATTTTAAAATGTAGAATTTTAATATAATCTACACAAAAGACCGCTTCTATACACATGCGACTTTTTTTTTCAAAATCTATTTAAAGCTTTACTTACCAAAAAGGTGTAGAAATCAAGGCGGCTGCGAGTATTAAGGACCACATTATCCTCTTGTATCCCGAGGTAATTGAAACAGATGTATTATTTAGTATGTCCTATGTGTCTTAAACACAAACGGAAAAGATGATGATGAGTCCGAATAATTTTAATTCAAGTCCTTAGAACACTAAAACTTATCACAGCAATTAAGCAAATGGCCACGAAAAGTATCCGAATAACAGGGCCCAACGTATACAATCACGTGGTTTTAAATTAAGCCATAGGATTAGTCACTATAAAATAATAAATCTTTAAAATGAAGACACCATTAGTTATATTTAAAACCAATGGATAGTTCGTTTTTTTTCTCAATATGGATGGAGCTTCAATTTTTGACTGAATGACATGGTAGATTTCGTTTACCGATTGCAAAAATAGCCCGCGCATTACCTATTTAACACAAGCCCAATTGGTCGCCTTTCATCTTCGCACCTTTTACGTTATACCCCCCCCCCCCCCCCCCGCCCCCCACCCCCCTTTCGCACAGAGGGCATCCTTTAAGAAATCTCGCTTGACGCTTGTCTTTGACATTACATATCATTCGTCTGATACGCTTCACCAGGTTACACGCTTGGTTTTTTAATCTTGAGTTCAAGGACAGATCCGGGTAGGGGTTGGGGAAAAGAGGGGATGGGGGGAGGAGGAGGATAAAAACGTCGGTTCGATACTCTATTTAAGTATTGGCAAATTTACAGGAGTCGTTGATGTTGATTGTTAACAATAGTTGAACCGAGTTCTCGCTACTGTCATCACGTGAGTGCTGATTACTCTCATCACGTAATTATTCTCATCAAGCCTGTGGAGACCTTGTGTGACGCATGTATTGGCACCCGCCCCTTCCATCGACCTCACCCCTGGGACCAAGATATGCCCAGCACCTCACTGTTCGCTCACCTTCGTCCTGTCAGCTTCAGACCCAACCTTTTTTTTTTGTTACTTAGGAGATTCTTGTATCATAATAGGATAGCATTGTTATTCGATTAATCAAGAAGCTAATAGCTCTATTTTCATTTTTAATTAGGATTAGTAATCGTGATGTTGTCGTGATAATGGATGTTTATTTAATATAAATAAACAACCAGGCTATATTCCATTGACCGCAGTAGTCGAGTGTAGCCTATTGATGACAAATGCATTGTGTCCACACTTTTGTGAAATCGATGTACATTTTTACTGATATTTCGACAATAATTAATACAAGATACAAGAACACTCATGTACAATGTCAGAAAAGTAGAATGCAAATATGTTATGAATGTTTAAATATAATATGTTGCACTATTTTAATATTGGAATAAGATTTATAAACTCATTTCTCTCGACATTATGTTTTTGGACATACTGCATTTGTCCTATATACACTCGTATTGTTCTTTATCATAGAAATTAATTGTAGTGACTCTCATTGTTTTACTTTCCCTGGCCATTCCGGTTGACCTAAAGGGGGGGGGGGGGTTGAGGGTAGTTTTTTTTTAATATTTAAATTGATAAAACAATTAAAAACGGATGTTCGACTGCTTATATTAAATACTAAAATATGAAAATATGTGTAATCCATTGTTCCTAAACTGCTTTAATTTTTACAAATGTAACTATAATTTTATCATTTGCCATATTGTTTTTATTTATTTTTAAATTTAGTATGATTACATTTACTTTTCAAGCCTATACCTTCACATTTGCTCTTTAAACTCTATCTGTGTTGGTCTACAAACTTTTCACTTGAACAATATGTTTGTTACGTCTATTTATTTAAAATTCAATCGAAGTTTGAACCATTTGGTGGAACAAATGAATGACAGCCGATACTCTGAACGTGTTTAGGTGTCATTTTAATGTTGTTAACATGTGTTTTTGTGACGTACCCTACACAATATGACTGAAAGCCGTTACCCTGACAACACCATATACCGCATATGTCTAGGACGATAATTTAAAAATGAACCCTATAAACACTGTCGGACATATTTTATATTATGTGACATTAACAAGTACTCCCAAAATGCAAATCGCGGACATTGATTTATTTTTCATTTAGCCAGAGAACAAAACAAAAGAACGGATGGTCGCTTTCATATTTGTATTTGATTTTTTTATTAACTTCATGGGATTTTCGGATATCACCTGATTCACCATCCCCCTCCCCCATTCCCGCAACACACATCCTAATAGCTTTTTGTTTCATGCTCTCTGTGGAGTATTGTAAATACTTCCCTTTATTTGGGGACATGGTTGTTCGTGATCATGGGGAAACAGACGGCGGAACTGACGCAATGTTGTATAATAAAGGGACACAATTCTATTAGATTTTTTTTAAAAATCACCAGCCCTGCAATAAGCGGTAAAAAAAGTTTATTCACAAATAAAAATTGGCATAAGACTAATGGATGTTAACATAGAAAAGGTTCCTACTCACATAGAAATAATTCTTAATGACTAGCAAATCTAAAAATAGCGATTAGGCCATAACAAATTAAAAAAAATTATGGAATATTTAGCAGGTGTTTAAAAAAAACACCAGATTACTCTACAAACAACCAAAACTTGTGAATACCTTAGAACCATAAAAAAATCAGATTAGACTACACACAAGTAAAAAAAAACGTGAATATTTAGTAGAAGTAAAAAACAGAATAGACTACAGGGGATCGTCCATAAATCACGTCACACTCGTAGGGGGGGGGGGAGGGGGGAGGGTCCGTAATTTTGTGACGGTGTGTGATGAGGGGGAGGAGGGGGGAGGTTCATATGGTCACACTTTTGCATTATAAAAAAAGCAATGTTAGAAAACTAATTTTAGACGATATTTCAGGTTTTATAAAACTGTTTTAATAAATTGTAATATGAATTGATTAAAAAACTATATTTTAGAAAAATATCGATGTTTAAAAAAAAAATTCAACTGCAATTTTGAGGGGGGTTGTAGGCTTAGGTGTGACTTCATTTTAGGGGGGGGGGGATCTGGCTTTTTGTGAAGACGTGTGACGAGGGGATGGGGGGGAGGTAAAAATCGTCAAAAAAAGCCTGACGTCATTTATGGATGCACAAACTAGAAAAACGTGAATATTTAGTAGCCTATCATATACACACGGGTCATCGTTCACAACAAGACGACGATTGTGAATGAGAGAACAGAGGAGAGATGTGTTAACGACTTACCCAGATAGGCAACTACACACAACACGATCCAGGCAGCTAACATGGTTCTCATCTCGACTAGAAAGAGCGGCAGTTTGATAATGAATTCTACGCAAGTTGAGGCAAAATGAGCAAGCACTGGCAAAGTGATGAGGGGGGGGGGGGGGCGGGGGCGGTATAGAGGTGGGGTGGTATGTGTGTGTGTGCCAATGTTTGGAGTTTGTCGTGGCTACTCTGGGTTATCTGCCGTGGAATAGCTTGGATTCAATATATAAAATTGGAGAGATCAATTAATTAAGGAGAGAGTGTGTGTGTGTAGGGGTGAGGCGTGGGGTGGGCTGTGTGTTGTGTAAAAAGGAATGCGTGGGGAAAAAGGTTAACTAAAAATAGCACTTTTTTTTGTTAAATTTGGCAGTATTCTAGGGTAAAAAATCGTTTTTTTCTTTTCTGTGATCAAGACACATGGGACTGCTGAGGGGAAAATAGTTTTTTTTTTTAATATATATTGATATTGATTAATTTACGATTTTTTTACATTAGATCATCTTCGTTTTAGTGTATCTGCTAGTTCCTTAAATTAAAAAACCCACCAGTGGTGGTTTAATAAGGTCAATAGTTCATTGACGTAAATAGCAAGTTGTAGGAAAAGAAAGATTCAAGCTGGTTTAGCATAAACATCCGAACATGGACTTCTGCACAATATGTCACGATTCTCGACCCCCCCCTACCTTCCACCCCTTCCCCCCCCCCACCCTCCAACGCGTTCAATTAACACGGTTTACAAGGAAAGTTAAAAAAATGTAATTAAATTAAAAACGTAATTGTATCGTAAAAGTCATTACATCACTCTCTAAATCAGTTACCTCGCCGGCGGCTATGGGAGTGGTTGGGACACAAACATCCACCCCATGTCATAATAGAAAAAAATGTCAATACAAAATATTTACAATTCCACTTTACACATTTTTATATTTGCTCGCCTATCCTCCCATCTCCCCCCCCCCCCCCCCTCACACACACCCTCCAACCTTCGCAATTTTCAAATGTCATCCTCTTTCTCTTCCTAATTAATAGCAAAACTTTCTGCGCTATTTCTCTAATTAGAATAATAACCCAACCGCCCCCCCTTCCCCACCACCCCACCTTCCTCCTCTTCCAGCTGTGCAATCCCAACGTTGAGCAGTTTGCACAAATATTGCCAAAATCACATTTAATATCGCGGTCATCTTCTCTGCTTATGTACTCACACAGTAAGGCACTACTTATTAAGCCAATAAAATTATTTATGCTCAACAGTGTTGCCGCTTTAGTGGGAGATATTATAAGCACACCGTCCTTTACTCGTTGATGTAACAACTTCCTTACATTAGTGTATCTATCGCGTTAGCTGGGTAACGTTTTAATATCAACACTGATATTTACGACAAAACTTCCTTACAACATTGTATCTAGATCTCGTAGACTGGGTAACGTTTTAATATCAACACTGTGATATTTACGACAAAACTTCCTTACAACATTGTATCTAGATCTCGTAGACTGGGTAACGTTTTAATATCTACACTGTGATATTTACGACAAAACGAATGGCGGCTAAACCATTTCCTACCCCGAACACGGTAAAACCCCTAGCCCGCCTTTATGTTATGCCCTTTGGTAAAATAATCGATGATACTGGGAAGGGTTGGGGAGGAGGGGGGATGGGGTCACGTTACCCGAGCCAGGCATCCTAGCCGACACGATGAATATGTACATAAGGAGATGTCTGCACGCGCGTGTATGTGCGTGAGAGAACGGATGAGTAACTGGGTGATTCAGTGACTGAGTGAGTGAGTGAGTGAGTGAGTGAGTGAGTGAGTGAGTGAGTGAGTGAGTGAGTGAGTGAGTGAGTGAGTGAGTGAGTGAGTGAGTGAGTGAGTGAGTGAGTGAGTGAGTGAGTGAGTGAGTGAGTGAGTGAGTGAGTGAGTGAGTGAGTGAGTGAGCGAGTGAGCGAGCGAGCGAGCGAGTGAGCGAGTGAGCGAGTGAGCGAGTGAGCGAGTGAGCGAGTGAGTGAGTGAGTGAGTGAGTGAGTGAGTGAGCTAGCAAGCGAGCCAGTCAGCCAGCCAGCCAGTCAGCCAGCCAGTCAGTCAGTCAGTCAGTCAGTCATTCAGTCCGTGATTCAGTGAGTCAGTGAGTCAGTGAGTCAGTTAGTGAGTGAATAAATTAATGAATGAATGAAGCATGACATATTAAGGAAGCTATAGAGCCCAAAGTTATGTCTGCATGTAAATATATGTATTTGTATGTAGATAATATTAATACGTATGTTTTGTCCGTCTTCTGGTAGTGAGTCTGAGTTGTGGGGAAGTACAGAAACTATCTGATTTCCTCCACCTCTCTCTTCCCCCCCCCCCTCGTTCCTTGTAAGCTTGTGTACTCACTCTATATGATTGTAGCAAGATTAAGTAAATGATTGTAGGAAAAATGTCACAGGAAAAAAAACACAGGAAAGTAAACACAGAAAAAAGTCACAGGAAAAAAAAGTCACAGGAAAAAAGTCACAGGAAAAAAAGTCACAAGTATATATTTGCATGAAATGTGTTAATACCTTTATGTATTAAATATTTAGAGTGCAAATTAACTTAGGATTAACTAAATGTAATGTAATGTGTCTAGGTTGTATACGTATAGTCATTTTTATAATTCATCTAAAAATATTTAGTATGAGGTATGTAGATTGTAATTATGTTAAACATAAGATTAATAGCATTTAATAAAATGCTCCAAAGTCCACGTTTTTCATCGTTTTTTTTTTAAATACCAACATTAAATTACCGTGAAATGGTAACTTCATCTGACTTGCTGCCCTCAACTCATCGCAACAATAGTTATGTTTAGTTCAACCACCTTTACTGCCCGCATTTATCATGCTCATTACATAACACAAGTTAGGATCAAAACAGAAAAGCCGTCAGGGTTCAAAGGCTGTCATTGACGCATAACGTCAACAACACAAAATATGTTCGGACAATCCCTACTGAGAACGTCACTAAAAATGTGTATGTTGATTAAACTTGAAGTATTTGAGAGTATGGTAGGGAGGGGGGGAGGAATAAAATGGAAACTTAATTTTGACCATAGAAAAATATGGTTTGTGTTTGGGTATGTTTAAATATCACTGGATTGGGTATTATGTTAGTGTCAGAGTGCACTTTTGAGAACCACTGGTTTGGGTACTATGTTAGTGTCAGAGTGCACTTTGAGAACCACTGGTTTGGGTACTATGTTAGTGTCTGAATGTACTTTGAAGACCACTGGTTTGGGTACTATGTTAGTGTCTGAATGTACTTTGAGAACCACTGGTGTGTTTAGCCTACTATGTTAGTGTCGAAGTGTAGAGGACCACTGGTGTGTGTACTTTGTTAATGTAAGAGTGCACTTTGAGAACCACTGGTGTGTGCACTTTGTTAATGTAAGAGTGCACTTTAAGAAACACTAGTTTGTGTGCTTTGTTAATTGTCAGAGTGCACTTTGAGAACCACTGGTGTGTGTAGCCTACTATGTTAGTGTCGAAGTGTAGAGGACCACTGGTGTGTGTACTTTGTTAATGTTAGAGTGCACTTTGAGAACCACTGGTTTGGGTGAACAAATGGGCAAAATATTTGTGTATAGAATGTACACTTGTAAAATTTTATCGTCTCTGATGTCGCCGTAACTAGAATTGACGCTTGCTTAACAGACGACTAAAGGGAATCCCTTTATCTAATGGAGACGCCATATTTTTATTATTATTATGTACGGGTGGGCGTGATCGATTCGGTATAGACCATGGTTGATCAACTGAAAGCTCTATATTGACCTCAGGGAGTTCCCGACACAAACTCATTGTTTCTACACCTCACATACTGTTCTCCACATACCCACACAATGTTCTACATAATTTACTTCATTCACACCCGCATTGTTCCACACAACCACACATTTTTCTTCACACCCACAGTGTTCTTAACACATCCACGCAGTGATCTTAACACATCCACACAATGATCTTAACATATCAACACATTGATCTTAACACATCCACACATGTATCTTTACACATCCACACAGTGATCTTAACACATCCACACAGTGATCTTAACACATCCACACAGTGATCTTAACACATCCACACATTGATCTTAACGCATCCACACAGTGATCTTAACACATCCACTCAGTGATCTTAACACATCAACACATTGATCTTAACGCATCCAAACATCGATCTTAACACATCAACACATTGATCTTAACACATCCACACAGTGATCTTAACACATCCACACAGTGATCTAAACACATCAACGCATTGATCTTAACACATCCACACAGTGATCTTAACACGTCCACAAAGATCTTAAAACATCCACAACTTGATCTTAACACATCAACACATTGATCTTAACACATCCAAACAGTGATCTTAACACATCCACACACATTGATCTTAACACATCCACAACGTGATCTTAACACATCCACACACATTGATCTTAACACATCCACAACTTGATCTTAACACATCCACACATTGATCTTAACACATCCACACATTGATCTTAACACATCCACAAAGTGATCTTAACACATCCACACATTGATCTTAACACATCCACACAGTGATCTAAACACATCCACACATTGATCTTAACACATCCACACAGTGATCTTAACACAACCACACAATGATCTAAACACATCCACACATTGATCTTAACACATCCACACAGTGATCTTAACACATCCACACAGTGATCTTAACACATCCACAAAGTGATCTTAACACATCCAGACAGTGTTCTTAACACATCCACACAGTGATCTAAACACATCCACACATTGATCTTAACACATCCACACAGTGATCTTAACACATCCACATACATTGATCTTAACACATCCACACAGCGATCTTAACACATCCACAAAGTGATCTTAACACATCCACACACATTGATATTAACACATCCACAAAGTGATCTTATCACATCCACACAGTGTTCTTAACACATCCACACATTGATCTTAACACATCCACACATTGATCTTAACACATCCACAAAGTGATCTTAACACA